TAGTTTTTCATTACCCTTTGATTATTTTAACATAAAACAATCATTTTAATTCTTTAACACCCACTGCATCATTTTTGAAACATGGGTATTTGAGACGTCTACATCATCAGTGTGATATTTTTGCTTTTGAAAAACCCAACTTATAAAATCAGACACATGCAATGAACAATAAAATGTAGAATAAATTGCACCACAATTCCTATGCATCACAAATGATACTGTTAACGTGTCTAATTAGATTTGATAAAAATCTATATTTGTCATTTTTCAAAAATTTCAATGACTATTCTGGTTTAGAAAGGTTTTAAGAAAGCAAATTATCTGACAACAATTTCATGGTCTAGCTTTCTAAAGGATTAAGGTGTTTTTAAGCAAGAAAATTCATTTCAAAATGTATCTGTGTAGTCAGTTCTTTAAGATTATGACGCTACTTTTCATATATTTTTATATAATGGCAGTGTTGGCAGAACTGCAAGAGAGATCGCGAGTTGGATTCTTTCTATCGACTTGTGAAAATTAGTTTTAAAGTCCTTACATAGTTGAATCCACTGTCTACAACTTTTACTTCTTATGATTATAAAGTCAAGGTTATAATTCCTTGTACATGTGTGATAACTTTAATATATAGAATTTTGATTAAAACATTTTTTTCTGTTTGTGCTGGAGATGTCAGAAACTTGCCTAATCACTATTATAATACAAGGAAAATCTGTTTTAAATTATTATTTTAAATGAATCATGATGTTAGAAAATAACAACTCTGGTCAGATGCAGGTTAGTAAAATAAATGCAATGTCAATTTTTTTTACATTTTTATGCAATTTGCTTATTGCTAGCTCGCAGTGAAAGTAAAGGGAAAACCAGTTGGGTGATATTATTACTGCCCACTGCTGGACTGAAGGTATAATGCAGTTTCTCTCAGGCTGAATGTTCTGTGGCTTTCAGAGGAATCAGAAAGCATGCTAACAAATTCCTAAGTATTCCCATTACCCACGTTAAACAGATTAAAATCCCTCGTCTTTTGGAAGAGGATCTAAAAGATTTCAAAAGCCTGAAATCCTCGAGTCAAATAACACAATTAGTGCATCTTTTAGTAACATTTAGTGCTACTGTCCAGTGGCGGCCGGCCCATAGGAGGCGCTGGGGCACCGCCCTCCCTGATAAGAAGAGAGAAACTTAAAATATATTTTTACTAATTAACTCATAAATGTCAGTTTTACTCTCTAGAGTGCGTACCTATAAGCAAAACAAATTATATAAACTACATTTCACTACCTACTGTCATTCATTTGTGGATTTCCACAGACAGACTCCTACCATCTCTGTCTTGGGGCGCTGATCAGACTGCCCCACATGTGCAGAGAATCTGCCAATCATGTACTATTGCTAGGTCAATTTAATAATTTAATGGCCAATCAGCGTCTCAGAATTTTATGGTCTTGAGGCGCTGAAAATACTGCCCTTTAACAGGCTTCTGCACCCAATGCGCAGGTGCAGACAATTAGAGGGACGATGGCGAACGTAGCGAGCGAGGTGCAGCTTCCGCCAAATTCGGTGAGATCCTTATTTATCTACCCGTTTGCCAGAAGAACATCCCTGTTGTAGGATATGAAAATTTCATGTCATGGTTATTGTGACCAAAATCATCACTGTTACTGTTATTATATAGTAAATTAAATCATTACTGTTAAATTGTATTTATTGTCCAATTGTTTATTTGAATTATTCTGGATTAGTTGGAGACACTAGGCTATATCAGCCCCACCAAAAATATTTTCACCAGCCGCCACTGCTACTGTCAAAGCATGACGCTTTCCTACTGATTTGAGCAAATATAGGAGAACGGAAAAAAGTGAGCCAGATAAATTATCCTTAATCTATAAAGAGAGTGAGGGCAAACACTGCTGTTTTCATCATCCAAACAATGTTGGTTTATTGGTTGTACCAGTTACAGAAACTTCTGGCTAATGCTAATATGGGTTAATCCATCTTTTTTTTTTTTTTTTCAGGGAGCAAACTGTGGTAAAAAATATCTTAAATAGATTTCTGCAGACCACCCCTTCTCCCAACTACCTCTTCCAGCTCTTCTGTTGGGACTTTAAGTTATTTCCCAGCCAGCCTTGAAATGTAATCTTTCAGCCGTAGCCTGGGTCAGCTTTGCATCCTCTTCCCACTGGGATGTGTCTGAAACGCCCTCCCAGACAGGCTTCTTAACTCAATGCCCCAACTACCACAGATCAGGGACTATTTTCTTTGATTAGTAGCTTAGTTTTATGCCACTAAATCCCACATTTTGTCACCATCACAGATTCTTCTCATATTTTGTCTCAGGAGTCAGCTGACTGACTGATGGTACCTGATGTGTTCTGCAGCTATGATGCCATTAATAATTCAGCTCCTCCCTCTGTCCTACCCGTCCTCCATCCGTGAAGATCAAGCTCGTGAAAAGTGATTACTCACTCTGGCTGACACGGTGGCCCCACTAAAGCCTCCGCTGGAGTCCCTGTGGGTGTGAAAAGCTTGGCGGCTGAGCCAACTCCAGTTAGTCTTAACTTCAAAGAGAAAAACAATCTTTCCCAATGAAATGTTCCTGCATGTTGGCAGAAAACATGTTTTATACATCCATTATTTCAACTTTAACCCGAGTAAGTAAATAAGCACTATCACAAGTTTTTAGCCAGGCTTAAATTACTCTAAGGCTCCAAGTTAAAGCAACATTGACAAGAAGCAATCTGTGTCTCTTCCCTGAGTGTCAAAGTTAACATTTCAATTTCTGTCTGATACTAGCCGTCTGTGTATGAATGCTACTTTTGCACCTTAAAAACAATCTTTAGCAGTTTGCCAATGTAAATGAACCTCCACTGGTGTGTAACTCAGATTTGTTGCTCCGATCCTTTGCCAAAAAAGCTTGGCCCAGCCCAGAAATGGTTCCTTTTTATAGATTTTTCATGTTTTAGTGTTTATTTCTGATAAATTTCATGAGTCTGATAAAAAGCTGACCAATAAAAATTTTTTTAACAGAAAACTCAGGGCCTGCTACCTCAAGGAGTGTAATTACTGAATATGCTGTTAGAATAAAACTCTTTGAGTAGAAAGTATGACTAGAAAAGCATTGTTTCTATTAACTCCATTTAGCATTTCTGTTGAAGCCGGGCATACACTTTTTTTGAATCGGTGCAAACAGCTACAGCTCATGCTGTATGACAAAACCGCAGGGTTTCGTCATACAGTATGAGTTCACATCTTATAATGTATTGTTAGGTTCATTCAATGATGATTATAAAGTTAATGTATGTGCATATGAACAATGGAGAAATGAGATGCTTTACTCTGTTTACTGCAAACTGTCATGCAACAGTGGTAGAAAATTACTGATGTTTATGCAAGGCTAAACACAGTTATCAGAAGACCACTCTATTCCGTGATTCAATCAGAGAAGCATTTTGTCCTATGACCTGATCAATTGCCTTGTCAGAAGAACACTCTATTTTGTAACCCACCCCATGTGTTATGATCTGCTAATAAAAAGGCTTTGCAGAGGAAATCAGTCAGAGAGTAGATGTAGCTGAATGTAGCTCTCTCCTTCTGCAGAAGCCGTTAAAAATCCCCCTTCTGTGTGGACTGAGTTTCTCTTTTATGAACCTACATTTTTTTAACCTAACATGTATGTCCTCACGCTATGCAGCACGACGCTGTGATGCAATCTACGTCTAAAAACCCCGTCAGACTCATCTCTGCAGAGAGATGGCGCTACTCGGACTCGTCTAAATGGAGCCAGAGTAGAAGATGAATATGAAACTCACTAGAGTGAATCACGCTGCCTGGGAAATTTGTGCAACTTTGTGCTGAAAGCCCTAGAAAGAAAAGACAACAACGTATTTGGACGAAGACATGGCTGAGCAAACGTGGCTACTACGGTCTGTCAGTTTTACAGAAAGAACTCCATTTTACTCGCACCTCCGCCATGCTTCTGTTTTTTCTTCTGAGAGGAAGAAGAAGAGTCTTTGTGCACTGAGCGATTTGCCCACGACGGTCGACTGAAAATCAAACATGTTTTTTTTCTCCTTTCGTCCTTATGATTCCTGATCGGGAGGTGGTAGTGAGAGGTTGATCGCCCCTTGTTACCCCCTGTACACTACACGATGCAAGATCAGGCTGAAAGCCGGGCCGATCGAAAAATTCTCTCACGGATTGGGCAAAAAAAATTTGCACAGTGTAAGCCTGGCTTTAGTTATAGATACCAGCTCCTGTCCTTCTACTAGAGTCACATCACATGACCCAGAATGGCAGAAACACAGAGGTGTTAACTAGTACTTAGCTCAAAAATTCAGTCTAGGCAACTGGATGTGATGTTTTCTAGAAGACATTTCTCCTCCCATCAAAGAGGCTTGTTCAGTTCTAAAAAGTGGGCGGGAGCACTGAGATTAATATACTGTAGGGCTAAAAAAAAATTAGGGGGGGGCAAGAGGTGGCTTTCATCCCTCCTGGATTAGGCAAGGAGGTGAGCCCTTTAACTTTTTAGGCCATTGACAAGACTTTTACATTTCTGCGGCTCCAGAAATTTGTTTTTTTGGTCCAATATGGCTCTTTGAACAGTTTGGGTTGCCGACCCCTGTTCTACTTGGTATTTGTAATTAATGCCCTCATATAAATGTTTCTATCTAAGAGGAAAATAATGTGTCCTGTGGGTTTTGAAAAAAAAAAAAAATCAGCTAAAACTGCTAAAAAAAAAGACCCATTTCCAAATACAGTATAATGGCAGAATTAATAAAAAATTACTTTTTATTTTCATAGATCTAAATACCCCAACCTCGTGGACAATAATGCAAATTTTGGATAGGACTGCCTTTCACACTGACCAACCCAAGCATCTTTTATACTCCACATTTTCCAGCAGGTTTTAATCGAAGCCTAACACCAGCATACATGTTTTAACACAAAAAAATACGATTTCTGGGTAATGACTCCTTCAGATGATACTGAATCCTGAAAAAACGTACCTGTCTCTTGGTGTGTTCACTGACTTCTCCGGGCATGTCGTGGGCACTCTTGATTAGCGTGCGGGCAATGTGGTAATAGTACACGGAGATGATGGTCAGAGGGATCAGGAAGTAAACCAGGAAGATCATCACCGAGTGAATTTTAGGGTGCATCTCATTGGACAGCGGGTAGGGCACGCAATTCACAAAGGTGACGTTCATATTGTCCCTGTGATTCTATGGAGACGAGAAAACAAGGGGAGAAAATAATGAGACTGAGGCAATCATAAAACTGACACCAATAAAAAACTCAGACATTTGTCATATATTATTAGTCTATAGAGGAGTGTATCGGTGGGTTAGGAAATGAGTGTCTGATGGGAAACCCCACTGATACTATCATGAGCAGTTTAAAGACACATGGAGTTTGATCTCAACAAATGTTGACATGATGAACAATTCAAAGCGATGGCTGCCTAGAAATAGTCTCCATCATCTTGCTAAATATTTTCACCTCACAGTGTGAGGGTTCTTACGTAAAAGTCTCATTTCTACTTCTGAAAGCCTTCGCTTACACAAGGAGGTGACCATTATGGGAGCAGTCAGGGGGTCAACTTTTTCTCCGCAGGAAGAAAATCACACACAACAGGATTGCAACTTTCTAAGGGTTCCGGGGATGAAGTACCCATTGAAACAGACTCTGTTCAGTGTGCTTCACTGAACTGATTCTTCGATTTTCTGTTCCTCTGGCACTGAGACACCCCCAGCAAAAACACATCGATACACACAGCTCAGATGACACTTTGGCTTTACATTGTAATTCACAAGATGGGGTTTTGACATTCGCAAAAAAAAAAGCTAAAAGTGTCCAGCTTGTTTACAACACAAACAACATTTAAACTGAATTATACCTCAAACCACTGTATTTATAAAGCAGATTCAATCAGCAACAAGGACAAGCTAAGTGCTGTGAAATCAACAGAACAATCAGAGGAGATGGAATCCACATTCTGAAGCAGGTTAGATTTGACCTGACTGAATCAAACACAATCAAACTTAAATCATGCAGAACTTGTAGATCTGCTTAATTTAATGTAAAACAAAAAAAAAGATAGCATTTTATGATGTCAGGTGTAAAGGTCATGACTGCAGTAATAGCTGCTAAGTCAAAGCATTCTTGGTCTTGTTTATGATCTTGTTGTCTCTACAGGGAAACTAAACATTGGATTTGCTATTTTGTTTCCTCAGTTTCATCTGGGATATCTCAAGGTCTTCTAAGAGGAGAATGTAGATCTAGTTTAGTCCTGTCACTAACCCTTAAAACACAGAATTGTCCTTTATTTAGCAGTTAATTGTAAGATATCTAATTGAGCTAATTTATTGATTTATTGATGTGACGTGCAGATCAATACTAGAGTATCTAAAAGTAGAATGGGAGGCAGATCTTTTAGTTATCAGGCTCCTCTCCTGTGGAATCAACTACCAGTTTTAGTCCACGGGGGAAACACAAAGGTACTGTGCCAAATCCTCTAGCTCCCAGGCCTCTGGTAGAGGACCCGAGCTTGGGAAAAAAAAAGGGAGACAGGCCACGGTGGGTGAGTAGGAGTTTTATATATATAATCAGTTAGTGTTACAGAAACACCAGTTTAGTTTTAATAAAGTTTTTAGTTTTTATAATCCTTTTTTTCCCTCATGTCAGTTGAATTATTAGGTGTCCAGGCATTATAAAATTATAACAGAATTCAAACTCAAAATTTAGTGTTTCATTGCAAGACCAAGTATACAAGTCTACATGTACAAGCTTTACATTTTCAAATGTATCAATTTTCCCCAGTGGCTTAGCTGGTGGAAGGTAAGGGATTTTCGCCTCACTGCACAAGTTTAATTGAAAATGAATGGAGAGGGTGTGGATTTGCCTCCTCTGCTGCGAACCCTTAAGTATGTGAAGGAGCAGCAGCTTTACTATTAGTTACCCATACTGTAGCTTCTAAACTATTGCTAGATAGTTCTTCTACCTGCAGTAATCTTTTGGTAGTGTTTAAACTATAGGGTTTTACAACCTTTTTACAAGCAACTAGTCTGCACCTACTGCAGATGTAGAATCCATGATGACAGTATTTGAGGATTGATTTAGTCCAAAGCCTTTATTTATTGCCTTATTTTAAAGATGGAGGGTTGTAGCAGAAGGGAACTTTTTTGGCCAAACTTTTCTTGGAAACAAGACCCCAAATTTTAAATCTACTAGAGCTCTCACACCTAAATAAGTCTTCTCGCATAGAGGAAACCAATACAATCTAATAAGTACCAGTAACCCCCCTTAAAATCATCAAAAAGGTAAAAATAATGGTTGTGTTACCTGCATGGAAACAACTTGTGAGAAAATGGCTTCAGGGACAGCTAGCAGGACAGAGAGGAGCCAGATGGAAACAGCTTTCAGACATGTCCAGAAGACAGCGCTGGATGTCTGAATGTCCATCGGGTTCACGATGGCCTTATACCTGAAAGGCAGACGGAAAAATATTAACGGATGTAAAAAGAAGGCAAACAATGAGATCCTCATATCTGATATGAACACAATTCAACTAAAGAGAAAAGAGACTAAAGAGAAACATGAGCAAGAATTATAAAGAAAAGATAGGAAACGTGAAAATGTTCTATTCTGTGGAAATAAAATGAATAGAAACAGTCAACAAGGTCTTTATGGTTTCACGATAAGGCAGATCTAGTATTAATAATTGCAGCAAAGTCTGGTTCTACAGTTCATCCCTACTTTAAGTGGATTATTAATCCCAGTTAAACACATTAAAGTTCAACAGGAAAAATCAACATTATTCTGTGATGGTTTTGAGAGGATTAGCCTGAATGTCAACTCTGTCCTTTCTACCAGAACCAATGTAACATTGGCGTCTTTCAGGAGGCAAAACTACAAAGTACCTCTGACTGTGAAATATTACACAAGACATAATGTTATTAATTTTAAGGGATGGCAGCGTTTCAGCCCTTTTATTGCCATAGCTAAGTTGTTTGGAAAAGAAAAATGGCAGACAGGTATGCATATCATGCAGAGCAGAAAATAAGGCTAATGGGGTCCTGAAGCAGGAGTACAGTAAATAATTTGGCCTATTTAGTCCAAACACATTTGTCTACATCCGATTTTTAATTTGCCCATAAATCTTGCGAGCATTTCCAGTCCACTGACTGATGGTATTTGTAATGTAAGCTGATGTACGTCCTTAGACCACAGAGACTAATTAAAATAATATCAACCCTTAAATTTAGAAAGACCTCCTCTGATTACTTTCATTAATACAAATAGAGGACCACATAAAAACGGCAGTTTGACTAAAAGATGTTTAGCATCCTGAATAGCCAAGAAACAAAGTATTACCTGAAATACAGCCGCACACTTAACAGAATCACAGAGGTCAGGTAGATCTTAAACTCTAAGAAGCCATAGCTCATTTAAAAATTGCTGCTTTTTCAAAGCACAAATAATGTCATAGGAAATGTGTGTTTGTCACCATCATTGCTGAGTCCAAGATTTCTGTACCCTTACCCCGAATTTACAGGGCTAAACATCAAGAAGCATCATTAGGCTGTTGAAATTTAAACAGTGGGTGAAGAGCCATTTGCAGGTTGCAGCCGTTGTCCAGAACAGAACTGGTAAACTCCGGCATCAAAGTGTAGATGTCAGTTACACAAATATAATGTAATGATCTGCCCTGATAGCTGAACTTGATTACTCACTTCACCTACCGTTCATTCATCTTATTCACCTGCTTGCTCTGCTATATATACGGTTCTGCCCAGCTATCTGGGCCAGATCATTGTTTGATTTCTGTTTGATGTCTCTTAGTTATATTTGGTTCATGACTTTTAGTCAAGTCCCTGGTTCGTGTTCCTGTTCCCCAAGGCCAGTGGATTTAGAGGGTTTACAGTTTGTCTTGTCTTCTGATCGTGTCCCGGCTCTTCTCTGCGGAGCCCTCAGGATTTTGGCTCAGCATGCGGGGGGAGTTCAGGATCTGGCCCTTCTCTGCAGAGCCATCAGGGTTTTGGTTCGGATTGTGGGGAAGGTTAGTTTTAAGTACCATAAACCTGGCTCCTAGTTGGAGACCAGTTTAAAGTTCCCGCAGTTATTCCTGATACCTTCTCTTGTCTCTGTCCCTCAACCACTGAGCATGCCTGTCTGCATCTGTGCGTTTCTGTCTGAGCTTGTTGCTGGACTCATGGAACTCTGAACATGCCTTCACGCTATCTGGATTCCTGAAACCCTGGATCTGTCTGTTTGTGTGTGAATCAGAACCCCTGACCAGGCTGCAGACTCCTGGATTCCAGAACTGTTCCAATCTGCTCTTTTTCCCTGACCTGGGAACTTTCCTATTGACTGTCTCGCCTTGAATACTGGGTCCATCTGTCTAATTTCTTGACCTGTAAACCATTACCTTATCAAAGCATAAAGCCTTTTAGCTTCATACAATAAACATTGGCATGAAGACACCCGAACTGCACAACAACCTAGGAGCCTCCGTAAGCTAGATCTTACAGCATGCCACCTTACCACCTGGCTGCAAAGGATGGTCCTTCCCAAATACCAGCAGGAAAACAATCCATTAATTTGCAAATGATTCAATCATTGTTGCCGCACTTGCTACAGCTTTAAATAAATTTTTTCCAACTGAATCACCAAAGAATGAGCAATTATATTTCAGACTTGCATTAGTCTGTGTCTGAGTTTTAAACCTCAGTTGTTCTCTGACTATTGGTAACCTGACTCTGCCAGATGGATTTGCTCTGCATATCCATCTGGAAACCTTCCGTTAAAGTAATTTTGGGAAGGGGCGAAAATACTGGTTAGCTGATTGGCCTATGTTGGTGATAGACGGGCCAAATAAACCAATCAGATCAACGAAGCATATGACGTACTAACAGAGCGACGACGAAAACACAACCACAAGCCAGGCTACTCTTGCCGAAACCAGTCGGGAGAAGAGCAAAAACATCTTTTCCTCTGAGAACACCAACCAGAGCAGTGTTTTGCTCTTCTTTCAGTGAAGAAATACTCTGTAATTCCGATAAAACTTGCTCGATAGCCACGCTAACGCTAGTTTCATCGGCTGAAGCCGCCATGTTCTTTAGACTGAACTGTCGCGCTTCTCGTTGCGTCACACCTCAACCCGCCTCAAAGCCAACGCTGATTGGACGTTCGTTTGGTGAACGGCTCCAAATTTTCTTTAACAGAGAGTCTCCAGACTGATCTGCGAGTGTAACCTTGAAAGCTCGCGAGATCAGGATGGTCTCACGAGGCTAGATCTATTGGGGCTTCTGAGACAGAAAGGACTCACCAGCGCCAAGCAATCTTTGATAAAACAAGCCTGGTTGGAGCAGGACTTTAGGTTCAGAGCATCTTTATACCCATGTTCATTATCATTCATAATTCATATTCAAAGGACACTTTACATCTATTGACAAGTCTCCAGGACAAACACTAAACAGAGAATACAGGGTCAGGCCTTAAATGTTGGTACAAACAACGATCCCATCTGGGGGGAGTTTTATGAGCTTTGGTAAAAGCAGTGTAATGAGGGTCAAAGGTCAAATTGATTGCAGACGTACACAGTACGATTTTTATTCTAATTCAATGGTGTCTTTGCAATGCAAATAACAATTAACTTTGTTCAAACGAGATATTTACATACAAAAAGGCAAAATAACCTGATTTAGGTCAGATTGGATTACCAAAAATATTCCCATTCGCTTAATACCAAAATTATAAGATACATTTGTTAGTGCTTTCTTTAAATGAAAGGTTTGCATAACAGCTCAAGGTGCTTGAGGGAAAATTGAATAGTTTACAAAGGCGCTCAAAGTTCTAACTTGGTTGATAGAGAAAGTAAGTCATTAATTTTGCCATGGGATGGAATATTATTTTGTGCAAAGCAAAAGTAAAACTTAGTTGAAAGCTGGCTGGTTGATATCCAGCTGATGGAAAATCTGTTGGTTGAAGCAGGAAACATGAATGCATAAATCCCCTGAGGGATGACATTTTTAAGGGATCAGGCGCATCATTCTGGTCCGCCTCGCTTTAACTTTGTGGCTCTTAAATCCCACTGAGCATAAAAAATGTTGCCCGTAGCCAGCAGTTCTCAGAGTTCCTCCATGTTAGTATATCTCTGTGAAACTCAGAATCCAACCACACAAACATTTAAATAAAGAAGCAGCTTGCAGCAGGTCTTCAGGCCACGGTTTGGGTCAGATCCCAGGATGCATGGCTGTAGTCTGCAGCTTCTACCTGTGGTTGTGACAAGAAATCTAAGCAGTTTGTTTTCTTTGTTTTCTGTCTGTGCTGCTGAGGGATCACAACAGCTATTATTCTAGTCTGTTTAGAAGTTACATCTGCTTTCTAGAGAAAGGAAAGTGAATTTAAAATCCTGCCTCTGTCTCTGTCCAAATAGAAAGCTCAACTCAATCATTAAAGAAGCTCCTCTTGCTTTCTGCTCCAAATGCAAACACACCTCATCAAATAAATGTGTAATTCTTCTTCCAGTGGCGTTCTAGTTAATGAAAAATGACCAGCTGAAGGATGGCTGAGGCTGCAAAAAGACAAAGAGAGCAAGCTATAGCACTTTATCATCGTAATCATTCTTTGTGCATTTTAAATTCCCGAGAGAGGAAGCATGTCGGTGATTTAGCAGCAGAGCTGGATTAATTCACATCACTGACTACCAGCCCTCTGTTAAAGTACTGCAGCTAAATGCTGTTGCAGGAAGGCTCCTTAACTTAAACTGAATTTTAAACAAAATTTAAAAAAAAATGGAAGGTACTTAAAGGTTTTTCCTTTTTGAATGAAGTCAGTAAATTGGATTTGAAATGTTAAACTATCTGATTACATAAAATACGTTTAGAAAGTTAAAACCCAAACCTCAGTTGACGTTTCTGCTATGTTTCAATCTTTGTTTTATAGAACCAAGTGTAAAGAAAGACACTTAAATGTCTGAAATGGGAAAAGAAGCGTAACTTTGAGACCAGTTAAAAAAAAAACACGAAAAGAGCAACGATATTCCGAAAGATTTTCAATATTTCTTCCACTGAGGACAGGCAGGGCAGGAGAGTAAAGCCTTGGAATACACTAGCAGAAATTAAAAATGTCCCCACTTTCCTTGATGGGCCCTTGGCTGGTCCCCTACCATTTCTTTTTAACCCTGTAATGCCAAATGTATCATATTTGATACATACAGTTTCTGAAATGTTTTGCACCTGACAACTTTTGCATAATTTAATGGTAAAAACTTTGCTCAAAATCCTATTGTACACAATCAGATATACCTGATAACAGAGGGCAGAAGACTACACCAAAAATAATCTTGACTTATCGCATAGTAATAAATTATTGATATCGAAAATGTATTTCTGTTTTCTCTTTTTACATATTTTGTTAAAAGGCCAAATAAGTAATTTTTTTGTTTTGTTTAATTCTTAGATCGGGCTTTAAAGGGTTAAG